ATTAAGAGACTTTAAACTAGAAACATTTAATGAGGATATTTGGGATTTTGATGAGGATATTTGGGACTATTTATAGGTCTAAATATAGTTAATAATGACTAGTTTGGCTTTGAGTTAAGACATTACGACTTTGCTTCCAAATAACTATATGAAGGAAGATTTGGTTAAATTTGACACAACTCCCTGTCCATTATTGTTCACTTTTTTTTACCTAAACTATCCTAAATAACTTATTACATCTTGACAAATTCCCATCAGACAATCACCTAAAAAGTCAACATAAATGTTTGTTCAATCACAGATTTCATGATCTACCTTAATTCAAGTGGTAATTAACTCAGTTATTGTTAACACACTTTACCTTCCCTATTAAATAATTGTCCCCAAACCAAGCTTATTAACATGTGAAAAAGCTAGATTTATTTTGATTAATTAAAGAAAGACAAACAATAAATATCATAGTTTCTTTTCTTCCTTACCTCAGAAAAACTTAAAAAGAAATTTCGAACATGAATTTTGATTTGCATGTTGCTTTTCTAAGATTGAATTGACCTTATAAAATCATTCATTAGATCAATTGGACTAGTCTTTATATCTTCAATCTTTTCAGTGTAACTCTTCTTGATTTTCAATCTCGACAGGATATCTACAATATGCAATGACATACTGATATTTAAATCAGTATTCAAAAAATGGACTCATTACAAATATGATTTTTGAACATTTTACACTTTGAGTGCTTACTGTCCTTATAACCCTATATATCCTTATAAACCTATATAGAAGATTAGAAGAGGCCTGGGTATATTATAATCATGATTATAATGTTATTTTATGTGTAATGTTGCTAACTTTGATTAGGTGATAATTCTCAGGGCCAACTTATTTGACATGAAACTATCCGAGAATAATTCAGCCGAAAATATTATTGATTTATTGAGAATATGAGATAAATTCGTGCAAAAGTATTATTAATATGCTAGAACACATGATTAAGTAAAAAATACAACATTTATCCTTAACAGAGATAGAGCGAAGAGGATAAAAAGAGTGAAAAAAAAAAGAAAATTAATTGTTTGAGATGATAGGAAAAAAACAGAAATATTTCAATAAGAAAAAGAAAAAAAAAACAAAGGCACATACATGAACATGGAAATGTGAAGAAACATTGCCCTCTCTTTTCATAATTAATTATGCAATTACTGATTACTGTTTCATTCTCATTAATAATAATAATAACATTAATTATTTCTTATATTTTTGTAATTTATCTTTTAATTACAAAAGCATAATTTTACCGAGAGAAAAACAGAGACTGAAAATAAAAAAAAAAAATGTTTCGTATATTTTCATGAGTAGAACTTCCCAACTAAAACATATCCAACAGTGGTTTACTCTCAAAGTTGCCCGCCAGTATTATGGACTATATACGGCAACGCTATAACACATTGAAAGTAAATACGTATTTACATTCCTCTACGAACAATTAATTGATCATTAATATCTTAAATGACATTCAAGTGTGGCCATAGTAAACAAGCAAATACTAATCATTACTATTATTTTCTGATTTCACTTATTATATATTCTAATATACATTAAGGGTTATTCAAATTTAATTTATTTGTATGGCATGGCATACTTGATACTTATAATCATGATTCAAAAGTTGAATTTGTCCAAGTTACTCTTTGAAGCAAGTTGATCTTCCATAATGGGAATGGTTGAGATTATGTTTCAAATGCAACAAAATTGAGTCAAAAAAGCTTTATGGAGACTTGAGTGGTAACAAGAAATTTTACCGTTGTTGAATTTTGAGTGGCGCCACCACCCTGCAAAACTCAGCCCCTATGTCAGGTGAATCAACGACTCACTGTCACAGTGGACCACTGTATTTCTGAACAATACAATTGAAGCAATTTAATGCCATAATTTACATTCAGTGATATGACAGCATCATACATTGACTCACCCAGATTAGAATTTTAGAGGACAGTGCACGAGATATAGATACAAAGCACAAATGAATAAGCCCCTTCCCACAAAAAGGCAAATCAAACCCCAACATATTCTTCTTCCAAACTTAACATGAATATTCACAGATGCTACAGCCTAAATTTGCCATCTCCCACTAATTTATTAAAGAAATCTGTTTTGGTCTTTTTTTTCTAACACAATTAATGCCTGGTGGTGTCTCTACAAATTAAGTTACAATTAGCTAGTGTTTCACATCTAATAACATGAAACTTGCCCAGCCCAAATAGACCTACTTCCTTCCCACGAACAATTGAAGCAACAAGAAGAAGGATCAGCATTTGGGTGCTGACAAACAAACGCAAAACCACAAGAAAGAATGTCAAAGTTTCAGGTTTCAGTTGTATCTGAGCTTATTACAGTCCCATCTTCCACTGAAGAGATTGGCAGTTTGCTTCCACAGTTCATCTTCTTCACATCCTGACTGGAGCAAATGAAGATTCTCCTCACCATACTACAGAATTCACTGCAAGAAAATATCACATAATCAGCAGTGTTACACTGTTTTATGATATCTAATTATACTCTTTGTACTTTCCTCTCCAAAGCCTATCCTGAATTAGTAATATTGTTCCTACAACTTATTCTTTTGATAGAAACGTGTGTATCACTGTGTGATCCTATAATTGTGTATAATAGATACTCACGGCCATGGATCATCTCCCACAAGCATCATGTCACCTTCATCATCAGTGAAGACAATTTCCCACTTATTCCTGTGTTGAAGCTGTCCCTTTATGTCAAACATCTCCTCTAATTCATTTATAAGTTGATTATAACCATCCAACATTGTTAAATCTACAGCACGACCCACTGCAACACCCTGCATTTGAACCTTTTGGCAGGTTTTCAACATCAATGCACACTCAAGTTAGAAAAAAGATCTTTTTATAGGCTTGGAATATGAACAACTAAACAGCTAACAATCTATATTCAACACCTTAGTGCGACTTCTAGAAATTTGCTTGCTCTGAGACTCCTTCGGAGACACTTGTTGCTGTTCTTGTTTCCTCTCCTTGGAAGAAGCCTTTGGTACCTCCGACATATGGCCAGCATCTGTTTGGGACAAGGTGCTAGTACATCCTTCAGTAGTAACTTTGGGTACATTTACTGCATGCGGAGATGCCTTCTCTACAGCAGATGAGTTCCTAGAATGATCAATAAGATCAATTCCAAACAACCGATAACTTGTAGCAGTCTCAACTTTGCTCTCCTTGTCAACTTGGTCAAGCACATGCTCATTGTTCAATCTGGACGGATGAGGCTTTGAAACAGGCCAAGCTGAGACGCTCTTGCTATCATCTGTTGTGTCTTGAAACAATTGAGATGGACAACTGGAATGGGGAGACGATAGCCAACTTCCTTCGGTCTGATTCCTTAACATAGTGTTGTTGCTGTTGCTTTTACTATTCATGTCAGTTTGCATATGATGCCATGTACCAGTATTGTCATTCTGTTTGCTTTCGGCCAAAACATTGATTTGTGTCGTATCAGGCTGTGGCAGATCAGTATCCCAGAAAACAGAAGCAGCGGATGTTGCATCTAGTTTGAAAGTAATTGTTAAGTGTCAAACAAGACCAGAAACTAGATAAATATAGCAAATGAGTTATTACATATAATTACTCACCAACATCTGGAACTTCGCTGGATGGTCGGGGCCTTTTAGTCTTCACAATAGTGGGTTGAACCGAGGGTGTAGAAGAAGCTACAAATGGCTCTATTTCCCACGGTGAAACCCTCTCAGGTCTTGGAACAGCTGCAAGTTCATCCCATTGAACCTGGGGATTGACAATAAAAGAAAAGATAGGTATCATGATCACCAAAAAAGTAAGTAAACAACTGCAGATTGAAAGATGAGAATACCTTCAGCGATCGCCATTTTGAATTTTCCCAATGAGGAGAAATATCTTCAATTCCAACAATGGTACCCGAAAATCTGAACAACAACGTATTAGAATAGCTATGAAAAGGTCACATAATAAACTATCCCGACAAATTGTACTACCTTTTGTCAGTCTCAGCGGAATCATCCCCCTCGAATCTCATCTTAAACCTCATGCCAACACCAAACTTCGTGCTCACAGCCTCCAAATACTTGTTCACTCCAATGATGAACTGGCTCGTCCTAAGAAAACAACTCATATCAGCAATCACCCACTAACTATTTATCACTGAGACATTTTCTAGTCTTGAAAAAGTAAAAGTTCTACCTTGGCTTATAATATACCACAAAAAGAGTCTGGGTTGCAACAGCATGAGAGGCAGTTGCAAGAACTCCCAGGTGCATGCTTTGACTGGAGATCACAGATGAAGGCATGCTACTTGCCTGGCGAGCTAGACGTCTCACTCCGACACGTAATTCCCCATTGTCCCCTCTACACATAAGATCTCAGTTAAAGAAACACTGGTATAGAAAAACTGAAAATATTTGACATGATCTTTTTATTACAAACCAAGATCTATGAACCATAAAAAAAAACTAAAGAGATGAAAACATATAAATGTTTACCTCAAGAACACAAAGGTATCCCCTGCAACTAATCTTTTGGAAGTCACAAAAGTACTCCATCCAGTTGTGAGCAAGTGTCTGCGTGGCTGACCTGAAAAAAAATCAAAAACAAGGTAAAATCTGTAGGCAAACAGAAAGTTAAATCACTAGGACAGTAGAACTTAAGAAAACTCATCAATTTCCCATCTCCTTTACCTCTAAATATATGCTTAAACCGCCATTCATAACCATGAAGATCCTTTGCAACCAATTCCTGGGTTGGTGTTGGTTGGGACATATCCTATAAAACAAATCAAAAACACAGTTCTCTGAAATAAGGAAACAGGAAAGAGAACAGAGAAAAGAAATTCAACAAAAACAAAACAGATTGTAGTACCAATGCAGGAAGGCACTCAGTGGCATGTTTCCTGAGAACAGAGAAGCCACCATGGGTGCTAGTATCAGAAGCCGTCAAGACCTTGCAGAACGAGTGAGCCGGTGCCCTTGTAGGTTCAGCAGTGCACGGATCAGGACTTGAAGGCTCATCTTGCTAACATATTAGCACCATTAGAATCTAAACAATCATAGAGAAGAATCTAAGGTTGACCATGAAAATAAAAAGAGGCATTTACATCCTTACATTAGATTCCGGCACCAAAGTGATCTGCGCATAAACCTCATCCGTTTCTTGCTCAGCCTACAACATGCCAAATTCAAAGTAAGCATTTGTATGCCAAAACTCAAAGTTTAGGTTGGGATTCTCTAAAGCCACAGTTGCAGTCACATCAACAGCATTTGTCAGTAATTTTCCACAACATCAAGATTCACGACAAAACTGCGACCACAATCTCAATTTTAAACTTTTCACGATAATAGAAACTCCAAAACCAAGATGCCCCTTCCACCATCTTCTCACACATCCAAACAAGATTCATATTTTCCCCAAATTACCAACAAAAAAGAAGGATAATTACAAAAAAAAAGAAAATAATTACCAGTAAATGAACGTTCACGACGCGACAAAGGATCTTCGTGGGAAGGTGCAGCAGAGGAATCCTCTGATTCAATTCCTGGTTGGTTGAAGCCTCTAACTACGCAACCACCACCACCAACATCAACAAATTAAAGAAAAACAACAAAAAAAAATCAAAACCCACTCTACTATCTTTATTTTGTCCACAAATCTCTCAAAAATAGATGCTAAAGTAAAACAAAATTAAAATTTCACAATTACACAATTACACACAAAATAAGAACAAATTATTTCCTCAAGCAACCAAACTCACTTGCTCCATGTGGCCTTGTGGAAAATAGAACACTCTCTGGCCAACACGAGGAACATCCACTAGTGGTCCCGCGCAAGCCTTCCATTGCTGTTCATACAGCTCATCCTCACCGTCACCAGAACCAACCACTTCTTCACCACCAGAAAAAAACAAAAACCACACCGTTAACCCAAACAACATATTAAGAAACCTCAAATTCTACAAAAACGTTGTTCATTCGACTCCCACCTTCGGCCGAAACATTTGACGCCCGGCTCAACATGGTTCAACGCAGGTCAACGCCCGAGGAAAAAAATAAAATTTAAAATATAAATACTCGCCAAAACAACACGATTCGCTTTGTAACGCCTGCAGAAGAAACAATCTGAATCACCGAATCCTCTTTATTATCTCTACAAGATCCCGTTTCCGACAGCGTCCACCGTAAGAGATTACCAGTTACAGAGGCTGAAGCAGAAAGAAGAAGACAAAGAAGAAGAAGAGGAGAGGAAGAAGAAGAAGCAGCAGCAGCAGAAAAAGAAGCGTTCCGTTGAACGACGCGCGGTGTGAGTGAGAGAGGATGGGAAAGGAAACGGCGTTACTCGGTTGGAATAATGAATGACCACTCTCCGTTGTATGGAGACCTTTTGTTTATTAATTTATACACAGTCCAATTTTGTTGCTCATTTATTTATTTTTCTTTTATTTTATTTCAACTTGTGCTGTGTCGTGTCATGTGTGTCGCTTCTGTGTTGTCTATTCCCACCAGACACAAGAAACAAGCCTATTTCAGTGGTTGTGTGACTTGTGTGTGTTAGTTGTTACTGGACATGCTAATTCTGCCCCCGCTTTCACTTTTTTACATCTACCAAATTATTTTTTTGGAGTTTCTTATAAAGACTAGTTTTTGTCCACTTTCTTAATTAATTATATTTCAAAATCATTATTCTTGTTGTAAAAGTTAATAAACTCAAATTTATATGTAAGCTAGTTGCATTGTTAATGTATGAAAAATTAAACATCTTTTACGTTGTTAATTGATTCAAAATTAATTTTAGCATTTTTCACATAACTAAATTCAAAATCAACAAATCTATTATTTGTGTCATTTGTAATTAACGGGATTGTAATTAATATATATATATATATAATTATAAAAGAGTGAGATCAAAACTGGACTAAAAGTAAATAATCTGTCTTTATTTGTGATCTTCATTTCATTTCCTCAATTATGTTGTGATTGCTTAGATTTTCAAACTTGTTTTTATGTCATTATAACAAAAACGAAATAAATTATTCAATTAGGATTCTTAATCATATTAATTAACAATTACGTTCTCGTTTCTTTCTTTCTTTTTTCTTAATCCATTTTACACATATATAATCGCATTTAGTATTGAATTTCTTGGATTCCCCTAACTTTTATTACCTTTTAGTGTCAGTTGTTTTTGCCCAAAATTGTAACATATTAAATGTTTTCTATTGTTTTAATTATTTTATGAATTTTTAAATAATTTAAATTAATTAATATACTTCATTTATAAGTCATTAAGAAAACATAGTAACTTAAAGTTATATAGAATTTATTTAATTTTAAATACATACTTTTAGGATAGATAAATATTGCCACAATAATTATTTATAATTGTTAGAAAAAGACATTAAGCTTTCTTTCGTAATAAAAAAGTTTCAAAAATTAACTATTACTTAAGATACGGGATAAATTTCCACATACCAAATAATAACTAATATCAAGTTGCACCTAACTATGTATTTTAACCATAAATAAAATCTTTCATTCTTCAAAATCAATCATATACAAAAGAAAAACACACGTATACAAAAACGATTTCAGTGGGTTTATGGTCATAGAATTATATCAAAAGTAATAAAAGTAGTGCAACTCTGAAACAAGTAGCTTTTATCCATATTACATTAACTCACGGTTGTGATGACATTATATCAATTATTTCCGTAAAAGTAAATGTAAAGGTTAGTTTCATTGTCTCCACTAATCCTCTTAAATATATATATATATATATATATATATATATATAAAGTAGAAACTCAATAAGTAGTTTAATTAAACTTCAAATGTAACTAATTATTTTCAAGTAAGAAAATACTCCGTATGTTTAGTGTGTTGAATGAAGTGGTTCCTGGAAGGAATTCCGTATGCTTGTGACTATTGAATTCAGAGTCTTAGTAGAAGAAAGTAGATAATCTATGGGGTTTACATAGAAGAAAGTAGTTGAAGGTGAGAGTTGATGGAGCCTTCACAGGGCATCTTAACCCCTGTTTATAACATTATTTGCTACTTATAATACAAGTTATACAATTATCACATGGAAAAAACCACAACAACAAACACGTAAAGATGAACTATAACTTAAATCAAAACATAATAATTAAACTTACAAATATATATAATAATAATACATCATAACACAACTCATTCATTTTTTCATTAATTCATACAATACCACATAATGAAATAACAATTATTGTTGTATCATCCAACAACAATGAATTCACATGTAGACTTGACTCAAGAAGTCCAATCATTAACTTAACCATCGCACATAGTTTACCATTCAAAATCAGTTCACCTTTAAAGTTAAACTTACTCTTCCTTCCTACTCTCCAAGAGTATCTAGACAAAGCCTACTTCCCCTCTTTCTTCTCGAATCTTATGGGCAAAATACACAGGTGTCACTTCCTACTATTCCAAAGAGCTTCCCTAACATAGTTCATGACCGTACAATTACGTCGAGTTTTCCACTCCCTGTTACTCTCCTAGAGACCATAGTTAGAGTCCTTAGGATCAAATACTTAATACCATATTAAGACTGTAGTTACTGGAGATGAAAAATATTGGCTTTGCCACGTGAAATAAAAGTTTTCAAGTTTTGGTATCATTGAGAAAAGAATATTTCAAAGAAGATCAATATAAACATCCAACTATTTAAAATATATATGGAGGTTTCATTGAAGTTCAAATGCAGAGTTACTAATGTTAGACTTTTATTTGTACTAGGAATTTTGTTTAGTTTATCAACTTTATGTATTTTTTTCTTTATATTTATATTATGTATTTTTTTTATATTTACATTATAATTGTAAATGATGTATTTTATCTTAAACCATCAATAAAAATAGTTTTGATTAATCTTTTGTGTACTTTATAATTTTACAAATTTTATTTATTTTTATTATAAAAAAATTAATTAAATTAAAAAATTATAAATTTAGATGGATAATTATAAATAAAGGAGGTTTCAAACCTTTATAAAATAATAGTCTTCAATAAAAGATATTAAAAACGTCGGCCCCACGGTGGGCGCCAAAATGTTTCGGTAGATACTTTTGGGACCGAGAAACTAACCTGCCGACGTGTCTGGGTCGCTCGCTCGCTTCCATGTTTGAGAGTAGCCCAGAGTGAATAATGCGTAAGTGGAACGTACCTGGTTTTCGGTCCTAGCTTTGTATTTATAATTGACCTCATGGATCCTGAGCTGATATAAGCCCAATAAAATATAAATAGAATAAGATATAAACAAATTACCTGAAAATCCGATTGATTGTTCATAAATACCTTAACCGCTTAAAATATCTAAGATATTTTATCCAATAATTATCTTCCTATACACTAACCAAACATACATTGATATATTCAATGACCCATAATTTGTTGATCTGTTTTATTATGACAAAATAGTCTCCATCGTGAGCCAAATAAGGTGAAAAGACTTAATTGTGTTAGAAGCTTCTACTATGCTTTTAATTGTCACACCTCATAAAAGGGAAAATTTCCAAACTGTCGATCTTTTAAGATGATTTCCATGTGGGCTCTAGTATTGTTGCCTGGGTTTGAAGTTCATCTCACATCGTTTTAGTCATTCATTTAAGCTACTAAGTAAAAATATTCTCACTTTTCATGATTTCAGCGTTCACTCAAAAGAACTTGTTATTAGTATGGTTTATTTTTCATTTTATAGAAGTTTTTATCTCCATAATTTAATTTTCATGAATTTTTCAAACTCTCACAATATAATTATAATTATTAATTTTTGGAAATTTTTAATGGTTCCTAATATCCTATTTATATTGTGAAAACCTTTTTTGTGGAGGG